GAAGGAGGTCTTTGTTTTTTTTTTTGATTTCCAAACTTAAGTTTTCCAATTTTTCAATAATTCAAAAACTAGTTTTTGGAGTTTTTAGGTTTTGAAAAACCAAGTTTGGAAATCTAAAAAAACTTTTTGCAAAAACAGGAGGAAACAAACACTTTCCAAAATCTCTTTGAGTTCACAACCTTAGTTTTTGGAAAATTTCAAACAAAAACCACTTTAGATTTCTCACTGTTTCCCACATGTTACTACTTCAACTTTGCAGGTAACTTGTTAAACAGATTCTGTCTGTAGTTGTTGGAGGGGCCAATCTATCCACCGGAGGATTATAAGTGCATATTCTCTTTGAGCGTTGAAAGACTACTCTGATGCTTTTTGAAGGTAATTTTACTCAACTGGAGATTGAGCAATTCATTGGTAACTGAATCAAACTTTTCGGCCCAAAAAGAAAATAAAGAAACTAACCCTTTGTCTAGAGACTAAAGGAAAGAAGGGAAATGTACCTAAATTTCCCTTCGTCTTTTTTTGGTTCAGATAGATACATTTTTATTTTAGAGTCCTCTAGTTTCTCTCCGATTTTCCCTATTATTTTCCACTCTTGTGCTCTCTTTTCTTACATCGGTGTTATCAGGTCAGCTTGACTAATCCACCAGGCTCTTGTCCAGCTAACAAACACAAGTTGCCAAGGTAATCTTGTTCATCAAGGCTGGAGCTGGAGTAACACAAAATGTTGTAGTTGAGATTCAAACTTGGGATCTCCAGGTTATTACTCCCATACCTCAAGCACTAGGCCATCCTCTTAGGGACTCCATACTTGTGCCAGTCTCTTTGCTTTCCGTCTTTCCCTAGCTTCCTGACATAGGAAAATGGAAATGTTGATTTGGCAGTGAGCTGGATTATGACCCTGCTATGAAGGCCCATCTAGCAGCGGCATTGATGACTTCTGCCAATGTAGCACAGCCTAATAACCGGTTTACTAATTGCCTTTTGGTTATAAATTATAAAGGAGTGAAATTGTTTGATTAGTAGCCGAGCACAGCTGTCAGTTTATTTCATTTGTAAAATGTGAAGGCTTGAGGTGTTTACTCTCTGCTGAAAGGTTGGCCTGAGAATCACTAGGATTAGGGGGAAATACCAGATGAGTAAAAGAACTTGCATAAGTTTATCATGTCTTTGTGTGCTTACAGGCCATAGCCTATCGCAATAAGGTTTACATCCAAATGCACAGCTAAGGGATAGATCTCATAGTTGTCTTGGCGAGAGCTAAATTCTTCTATCCAATTATTTGCTTCTTATAAAGACAAGATATCCATTTGACTTTGCTGCAGGATTTTGCAGAAAAGATGATCATTCTCAAACATTTTTGGTGGATTAACTGCCAGGGGTTCGTCAGCTCCTCTTGGAGCATTTCTCCACACAGAGACATGTTCAGTGAAAAATGTTCTAGTTGGGAGTCATCTGTTGATTTATGAACAGATCTTTTTAGTTGCAACTTGAAGTTGGAAAGTGAGGTTATGCAAAAACTGACTGCATGTTGAAGTATATGTTTGGCCGGATGAAAGCATTGACATGGAAGTATTTGGCTTCTCTCTCTGTGTGTGTTGCTGCGGGTACGAGAGAGAGGGGGGAGGGGGAGAGAGTGAAAGTGAAAGGGACCGTCTTGTTGTTTGGTGATGTGGAATGGTTTAACAGTGTCTAATCGCAAGCTGAATGATTTGGTAAGAAGATTGGCAAGCATTTGTTTGTTTTTTTGTTATTTTCATGGTTTGGAGGTTTAAATGTTCACTTGTGCCCTTGATTTTCTCGAGAACAATAATTGACCTTTGGTTTTGACAGATTATAGGAAATGGATCATGCTTCAAGAACAGCATCATGGACGATGCTACTAACTGTTACGAGAAGGAATGTATATGTGCAATTGCAGAAAGATCTGTTGGTTCAATCCGATATGTAATAAATATTCTTTTCTAAACTTCTTAACGACGAGACAAATATATTACCATACAAAATAAAAACAATACATCTTAGCTGAACGTCTTAAGATGATATTGTTCATCTTGTGATAATGCAAATGCTGATTTTGCTAACTTTTGATTGATACTGTATAACTCGCAAAGCAGCACACAGACTGCTTAAGATGGTTTTTCAATGATACATTTGAAAATTGTGTTCTGAAAACTTGTTAACTGATGGGGCGTAGTTTCTGCTCACTCCTTTTGTATAGCAGGTTTTCTCACATCTCATGCACTCCTTTTCGATATGTAAATGAAGTTAAGCGCTCATGAGCAAGAAAAGGAAATCAAAAGAAAGACAAAGTAAAGCAACAGTACTAAAGGAGCCGTCCATAAAAAACCAAAGCGCAATCAAGGGTAAAGCAGATCCAGTAGAAATTTACATTTTAGTTGGTGCTATATGAATCATTTCACCTTTTGCTTTTCAGTAACCAAAAGGGATACTTTTATAATTTGGTAAAGAAATAGCAGGAGGAAACATAGCGCTTCATGCACATATATACTGTAATATTTTGAATTAGATAGCTTGAGTTCGGCTGAATAAAGACATTTTTGTAGTCAATGATGATATAGTGGTGCAGTGCTAAATTGGACCAAGAAGCTACTCTGTAGATCATATTTTTTCCACCTTAACAAATTGGCCTACTTAGATGAAGGTTCAACTTCCCGTTTGGGTCGGTTACGTGTACGAGGAGTTGCAGGTATTTCCTCTAACGGAGTAACCACAATGCCATCATCTTCCTCGCCTTCCATTATTGCTTGATTTACTGCAAGCTGTCCATTCAACAAGAGAAGTCAAATACAGTCCTCATACACTCAAAAGCAAATTTTATAATGTGCACACAACAATTTGCTGAGAAAGAATCTGAAAATACAAACTACTTCAAAATAGACCCTTCTTTCTCTTAACTGTTGAGCTAATAGAAGTTAAAAGGCCAAAAAATAAAATCCGGAAGTTTGACACCCCAGCAACCCAAAAAAAGAAAAGGGTGGCAATGGAATTAAATTTGAAATATAGTGCTTGAAAAATACAACTATGATCATTATGATCACTGCAATTACTCCAAAATGCAAACTAATAATGACCAATGTAGGGCACAAATAACTGAAAAACAACTTTCTCATCAAACGATATGATCAAAATTCACAAGGGAACATTTTATTAGTATATATTTTTCTCTTGTAGCTTATAATGGGCATGCATGTGCGAGCGTGTGTGCGTATGCATGTGTACATGCCCTGGCAAAGCCACCTTTTGCTAAGAGTGATAATATTACAAAAAAATTACACTGTATATATAAGTAAAATATTAAATTTTAGATGTATGTAACATACATCGAACACCCTTTGTGGGAAATTTTTTTTACTTTTCTCAAGTCCGAACACCTTAGGGAAATTTCTGGTTTCACCACTGTGTACATTTGACATGAATTTGATCCGGTTAAAGGACATGAACACCATTTGAGTTTCTTCTAATGATTGAGAGATTTTTTTCTTTTTTTTCTTCCACTTCCAACTTATACTCAATTGGATCTGTAATTCTGATGCCCCAGTTTAAATCACATGCTGTACATATGCCAAAGACATGCATCTTGTGATTATGGGAAACCACCAATTTCTAAGTGTCCAACATATATCATTGGACAACATAGATCTTTGGCAGAGTTTGTACTTCATAAAGACATTAAGTGTATGATAGGTCTAAACATTGTATATTTGACCTCTTATCAACCAGAAAATCAGGGTATGCACTGGGATCTTCAATGCAGTGGCTGATGTATTGTCTAGGGAGAGTACAAGCATAAATACATTATTTTTCCAACGTGAAATAAGTTAGTGTTGCGGAAGCCGAATATATAGAGAGGGATTAAATCACAATTACTATATCTAATGGTAGCTAATAAATAAATAGTAAATGAGACAATAATAAAAAAAGAACACCAAAAGTTTACGGGGCTCGGCAAAATTTTATTTTCTGTGTAGTCCTCGGACACAATCAACTCAAACTTTATTTCACTCCAAAAATACAAGTGAAATACTACAAGAGAGAAAGAAGACTCAAATGCTTTAGGAGATAAGAAGGCAAGTGAGAGGTGTTTACAAATGAACAAAACCCTTGTTATTTATAGAAGGGAAATAGCCTTAATAATTTCATGCATGACATCACATAAAGTATGATCATGCAATGTAAATGCATGAAAAATGCATTTACCAATTTCTTCCTAAAAGGAGACTTCCAAATGTTCACACTAGTTCACATGAATCTTGTCAAATTTAACAAATCTCCACCTTGGCAAGATTCCACACTTTCAATTTTCTCTCACCTATAATTTTGATTGTGTCTTCAACTTCAATCTTCAAAGTTCAACAATGTTGATCAAGTTCAAACAATGTTGAAACTTGATCGCAGTCACTACTTTTGTTAGCTTATCGGCAGGATTGTCTGTAGTTTAAATTTCATGCACCATGATTCTACATTCTTCTATAATATCTCACACAAAATGATATCGAACATCAATGTGCTTCGTCCTTGCATGAGAAACTTGGTTCTTTGCTAATTGGATAGCACTTTGACTATCACAGAATAGTGTGATACTTTCTTGATCAATACCAAGCTCTCTAAGCAACCCTTGAAGCCAACCTCTTTTACAGCCTCCGTAATTGTCATGTACTCTGTCTCAGTAGTAGACAAAGCAACCGTTGACTGCAACATAGACTTCCAACTAACTGGTGCATTTGGAAAAATGAAAACATAACTAGTAGTTGATCTACGCTTGTCCAAATCACCCGCACAATCTGAGTCACAATATCCAACCAGATACTGACTATCTTCCTGCTAAAAAATCAATCCAACATCTACAATATTACGAATATACCGTAGAATCCATTTTACAGCTTGCCAATGCTCCTTTCCTGGATCACGCATATACTTGCTTACAACTCCGATAATATGTGAAATATCAGGTCTTGTGCAAATCATTGCATACATCAAGCTACCAGTGGCATTCGCATATAGTACTCTTGACATATACTCTCGTTCAACTTCATTCTTCGGCGACATAGTAGCACTAAGCTTAAAGTGAGGAGCAAGCGGAATGCTAACCGACTTCGTGTTCTCATTCATGCCAAATCGATCTATTACTCTATTCAAGTATTCTTTCTGACATAGACACAGTTTCTTCGAATGACTATCTCTTTTTATCTTCATGCCAAGAATTTTCTTCACCTCACCCAAATCTTTCATTTCAAACTCCTTTTTTAGTTGAATCTTCAACTTCTCAATTTCCTCTTGACTTTTTGAAGCTATCAACATATCATCAATGCATAAGAGAAGATATATGAAAAATCCATCTTCAAGCTTGCGCATATACACAGAATGATCGTATTTTCTTCTTATGTACTTCTGCCGCAACATAAACGTGTCAAATCGTTTGTACTATTGTCTAGAAGATTGTTTCAATCCGTACAACGATTTTTCAAGTTTGCACACCATATTTTCCTTTCCAACAACTTTGTATCCTTCTGGCTGAGTCATTTAGATTTTCTCTTCCAAGTCTCCATGTGAAAATGCAATTTTTACATCTAAGTGAACTAGTTCCAAATTCAACTGTGCTACCAAAGCCAATAAAAATCTAATGGAGGAGTGTTTTACGACCGGAGAAAACACCTCATTATTATCAATTCCCTCCTTTTGAGCATATCCTTTGGCTACCAATCTTGCTTTGTAGCGAACATTTCTTGGTTAGGAAATCCTTCTTTCTTTGCAAATACACATTTGCACCCAAATGCTTCCTTTCCCTTCGGGAGATTGGCCAATTTCCATGTGCGATTCTGATGAAGGGAATACATTTCTTTATTTATGGCAATCCTCCACTTATCTTCTTCTGAACTTTGGACTGCGTCTTTATAAGTGGTAGGAATACCATCAGCTACAATTGAGGTTGCACAAGCGACCATATTTATGAGACGAGCAAGTTTCTTTATTGTTCTTTTTGGCTTGCTGGTTACTATTGATTCAAGTTGTTGTTAAGGTTCCTGAGTTGGAATCTCCCTTTCCACCGACTCTTCTTCTAGAGGAAAATCTTCTATTATTTCCTTGTTTTCTCCCTGTGTTGGAAAAATTAATTTTCCCTCGAACTCCACCTGCTTTGAAGCACCACCAGTTTGTTTGACATCTTCGACTGTCACTTTATATGTTATGACAGATTCATCAAAGGTAACATCTCCGCAGAATATAATTTTTCTTGTCTCTAGACACCATAAACGGTATCCTTTGACTCCAGAAGTAATCCCCATAAATATAGCTTTCTTTGCTCTCGGATCCAATTTTGACTCTTTCACATGATAGTATGCAATTGAGCCAAATACTTACAAAAAACTATATTCTTCAGCAGGTTTTCCATACCATTTTTCAAATGGTATCTTGCCACCAATAGCGGCAGATGGTAGACGATTAATGAGGTGACATGCATATGTTATTAGCTCAACCCAAAATTCTTTGCTCAAACCAGCATTGGACAACATACAACGAACCTTCTCTAGCAAATTCCGGTTCATACCTTCATAACACTATTTTGTAACCTTTATTGATGACTTCTCCCGGAAAGTGTGAGTGTATTCGATAAAACTAAAGATGAGGTATTGGGAACTTTTTTCAAATGGAAGACGATGATAGAGACTCAAACATGCAGAAAGATAAAGTGTCTTAGCACAGACAACGGTAGAGAACACAAAAATTATCTTTTCAATATTATTTGTGAAGATGATGGCATTGCGAGACATTTCACCGTCAGAAATACATCACAACTGAATGGAGTGACAGAATGTATGAGCCGGACTTTGGTGGAGAGTGTTCGATGTATATTGTGTGCGCAGATACACACAATGATCGTATTTGCTTCTTCGGTACTTCTGTCGCAACATAAACTGTCAAATCGTTTATACCATTGTCTAGAAGATTGCTTCAATCCGTATAATGATTTTTCAAGTTTGCACACCATACTTTCCTTTCCAGCAACTTTGAACCTTACTAGCTGAGTCATATAGCTCTAATACCAGATTTGTTAAATTTGATAAGATTCATGTGAA